TTGGTAAAGAAACCATTAGAGCGTGCAGGATTTTTAGTGCAACTTTAAAGCTCTAATAGTGAAATGGTGGCAGGAACCATCAGGAAATGTTTTGTTTTGTACAAATGAGACTCTGCTAGATTTAAATATTGAAGCAAATAATATTTTTCTTCTGAAATAATACAAGACCACTCTAAATAAAATTGCCAAAGAAGAAAAAAATATTAAGTCTTCTAATAATGGTAGCTTTATAAAAATCACTCTATCAGATCCTTGAAAAAAATGATCAGAAAATCTCATAAAAATTTCAGAACATCCATCATCTTCTTCCTTCTTTGTCCTCATACCACCACATTTTAATTTTCCATAAGAAAATCTAGTGGCTCCACAAACAGGAGGTAAGGAGAAACTCAGTATGAAAATGTACCTCTCTCCTGCCTCCTACCAATTACAGATTTTACCCAACAGAGGAAAAAAACTGAAACCAGTGGTTGCAATAGTGTTTACAGTTCTTTTTATTGTGTTTTCCACACAGATAAAAATAAGGCTTTCTTTTTGATGAAAAAAATCCATTACAAAGACTTCTATATAATCAATAACAAAATTTAGCATTGAGTCAAGTATACTGCATTTGAAATTCAGTATCATAAATATTCAAGATTAGTGAGTTTTTCTAAGAAAATAAGACTAGAAGAAAGAAAAAGGAACCCTTATTAACAGCTAATAACATAAAGAAAGATTTTTAAAAATTACTCTTGGAAAACACAGTATGGTCACTTAAGAAAAGCTGTTTCGGGAAGACATGTTCATCAGTGGAGTGCACATCACACTAAAAAATATTTTTAAATTTTGCAAAAATTTAAGTGTTAAAAATATTCCTCTCCTTATTCAACTTCATGTTTAAGGAAATATTTGACTGACAAGTAAACAAAGACAATAAAAGTTTGCCAGCATTTTAAAAGAACAAATTCTAGATCTATAAAATTTCCTGGATTGTACAGAAAGGCCCATGTCTGACCTTCACTGATCCACTTATATAGAGTTAAAAAAATACAGTATCAAATCTTTCTCTAGTCACCCCCCAAATGAGGGGAAATATTTTAAATTGTGAATGTGTGCATGTAGATATGCATATCCTCAAGTGTATAAAACATACATCACTTTACTAGGAGAATTATTTTCTTCATACTGTAAACATCTCTCCCCTACCTCTGGACATTTCAGAAGAGTCTTTGGTATTTCTAGTTATTGTGCTTTGAAACAGAAACCTATGGAATTCCTGCAGCAGCACTACATAGACATTTTAAGACATAAATAAGGAAAATGCACTTGGAATAAGTTATAATTAGCTGCTTTTGCATAATTTTCAACAACTACAGTGTACGCCTAGTCACAGTTTTATGAGGAAGAATATCTCCTTTTCAATTCCTTAATTTTAAGGAACACTTAATTGTTTTGGCTAAAAATCCATTTTTGAAGTAGATCTGTTGGATTGCATGACACTAAGCTTGGATGCTCTCCATTCGCAGAAAGGCACATTTTAAAGAGTGGATTATATAGAAGTTGGTCCTAGAATAAAAAAATACAACAGATGTTAAGTTTCAAGACACTTAGTTAAATGATAAATATAAAAATTGCCTAATTGTTTCACTAAAGGTAAAAGAAGACTTATTTAACACATATGTACCCTTCTTAACTTTGACTCTTCACAAGATCAACCATGTCTGACTAATATTGATTTCTGTGGAAAATGCCATCATTTATGCCACTTCTGTTCCATTAGCATAAGACATTTCAGCAAGGGAGAGTGGCATAGAGAACAAAGTCTAAATTAAGTTTTTAAATAAGCATTCCATTGTGGGCTAGAGAGAAGTCTCAGCAATTAAGAGCACTTACTGCTCGTCCAGAGGACCTAGGTTTGGTCCCCAGCACCTATGTTGTAGCTCTAACACCTGTCTTTAGTTCCAGTTCCAGGGTAACTGTCACTTTCTTCTGGCATCCAAGGGCACCAACTAAGAGTTTGGTGCACTCACATACACGCAGGCAAAACATTTATACACATAAAATAAAAACAAATTTTTTTTAGAACGATGCATTCCATTAATATATTTTTAAGTCACAAACTTTTAAAGAAGTCAGTTTTATGGTCTTCTAGTATTACACAGAACTATTTTTAGACAATAGTTGCTATCACTAAGCCAAATCTTAATAGTGTTTAAAAACAAGTGATCTTTCATATATTCTTTCAGTTCTAGATTCAAAAAAAATATAGAAATAGAGAAAGAAATAATAAGCTACTTTATATGAAAAAAATACATTTTGATTTGCAAAACCTATTGTAAGAAACCCTAAAAAGTCAAGGATAAATTACTAATGAATAATTCATAGAAACTGTTCATCTGTATGAGTCAGGCCTCAACTTTATGATCAGTTTGTTCCTACAGGCACTTAATTCCTAGATACATTCTCTTATTAGAGGGAGACATATAATGACAAAGTTAATAAAGGTCAAAAAACTCTGATGTATTACATAGTTCAGCAATTAGAACTAATGAAAATAATCAAGTAAACAGATGAATTAACTGCACTGAATCACCTTCTGAATCTCCCATATCTGTTCTCCAGGGGCAACTGTCCTGTGCCCTTTATAGACACATGCCTTCAGCTGGACCAGATTTTGAGTAGCATGAAGACATAGTTCCTTCTGGATGTTGTGCCGGATCTCATGTTGAACAGAATATTCAAAGTACTATGGGAGGAAAGAGTTGTTACTGACATAAGCAGCCATGTGCTCAGTTGCAAAAATAAAACAAGACACAAGCCAGCCAGCTTACCCATTAAATAATAAACCCGTATGTTCTTCAACAAAACACAATAAAAATATCAGAAATAGAAGCTGAGTTGTTTTTTTTTTTATTTTTTTGACAGAAGATAAAAAAGTCTCCCTTCTGCCATCACTGACAGTGATTACTTAATCAATATGGTACTGTCTTCCTTTGCAAACTAGAAACTAGAAGTTCTGAGGATAACACAGGGGTATGGAAAGTTCCAGTAAGCATGTTAACTGGCTTCTTCCTCTCTGCCAGCAAATGTTCCTTCTCTTACTGATCTCAACCAAGGTATTTTCATTAATCTAGAAATGACAATGCACATTCTATGCTTGTTTCAATCCACAGGATTACCAAGATTACCAAAATGAATGGGCCAATACTGCAGACATAGAGTACTTTCAACAAAGACTAGCAGAGGATAAGCACTTGATGCGTCTTATTATGCATCTCTTCATAATTAATTAGTATCTTAGTTCTACTGAATTTTCTTCTCCGATGTTATTTCACCTATGCTTACTTCTCCCTCCACTTCTCTTGTTCAGACCCCTTCTTAAATTATACCTTATCTCCTGCTCCCTTCCAGCTTCTGATCCTGTGATGCAGCAATCCTGTCTGCTGCCAGTTAGCCTTTTAAAGCATTGTTGGATCTGCTACTGCCCTTGCTTAAGCAAGTCACTGCTGTTGCTCAAAGTCCATACTCCCTGACTGGAACATAAAATGTTCGGGATTTGATCTTACAGCAGCCATTGCTTCAGCTCTAAACTATGCTCCTTTCACACATATCTGCCTCTGCAGAAAACCCCGAGAGTTTGCTCTATGGTCTGTGCTGCTGCTCGGGATGCCCTCTGTTTCCTTTCTGCTTAGCTAACTCCTTTCCATCCATAAGAACTTATTCAAATATTCCCTTAACCTTTATCTTTCCTTTGCAAAATTATAACTTTTCAAGGCTTTCATAGGACACGGCAATAACATATACCATATTATTACAACTGTATGTGTAGTTAGACCAAAGCCAGGCACTGTACTAACTAAAAACATCCATTGTAGTCAAATACTTTACTGAATCACCTGCCCAATCCCATAACATCCACTGTAAGTCAAATAGGTAATAATGTTGGCAGTCTAAAGATAAAATGAGTTAACATGGGGCCGGAGAGATGGCTCCAGCAGGTTAAGAACACTGGTTGTTCTTGCAGAAGACCCAGGTTCGAATCCCAGCACCCACATGGCAGCTAACAACTGTCCATAACTCCAGTCCCAGGGGATCCAACAGCCTCTCTTCTGACCTCCATGTGCATTGCATGACATGGGTGCACTTACCTACATGCAGGCAATACACACATACACGTATAATAAAAAATGTTTAAAAAAATGAGTTAACATAAGTGATTTTCAATAATGGATAATTCCTGTTAGCACTAATATTTCTTGAGCCCTTATTATGTGCTAGGCAAGCACTGTGCTGAAGTAAGTACTCCACAAACAGCAGAATTAATACAACCACAGTCTCAAGCACCTAGACTTCATCTCATGCTTTAACTTCTCTCCTCTTGAAAATAAAACAATTTTGCAACCTAGGTTTTTGGGTGGAAGCATTATAAAAATAGACTTAGATGATGAAAGAAAATAGCATCACATGTAATTTAAACTAAGACAAATCTTAAGATCTCAAAGGTGGCAAGAAAAGTATTTTGCTTCATTGTTATTAAAAAGTTTAGATGGAACTTAGAAAGAATGGAACACAGTGAAACAACATAAAGTGGATAAGTAGCTAGCTAAGAACTGGAGAGACCTGTGCTCAGAGCCTGGTCATGTACTGAGGAAGAGAAGCAGGATGAAGTATTACATGTCCTATTCCTGTGACGATGCCACTGCATTTGAGCAGAACAGTCTCCAGTTCAATCATACAACCAAATACTTTGCTTTGGACTCAGAAATACTGTTCTAATGGGGTTATATATTATAAAACACCATTGTGTGAACAAAACAGAAGGAAACATAAGAAAATGTTCAAATTATGAGATTAGAATTTTAGTTCTCAAGGAACTAAAATTTACAAAGTAGTTGAGGGGCATCTTTGATTAAAAATGCAAAAGATATCAATGACTGTATTAGCGTGACAGAAACCAGAGTCATCTTAAAACCAGACAACATTATTCTCCTGTTCAAAATCTCCTGATGGCTTCTGTTGAATTCAGAATTAAATTCAAGTTCTGTAATGGGGCCTGCAAGGCTCTACACAACCAAGTTCTTTATCAAAATCTCTGATCTCATTTCCTCCTTTCCTTGCCTAGAACGCTCTGCTCTGGCCACACATGCTCTCCATGAACCTCTGCTAGATGGCAGATCTCACCTGGCACTCCTTTAGGATGCTCTTCCATCAGATCACCAGGCTCATGTAAGGTGACTGTCCCAGAAAGTTCTTTAAATCTAAAGCCGATCACTTATTATCCCAACCCACACTTTCTAATATCTCAGATTACATTATTTCTTCACTTCTTAGGGAACAAAAGGCACTGTGTAACATAAGCTTTACAAGGTCAGTGACTGTCAATTACTGCAACAATGCAAACTGTATCAAAGGATTTAAAGAAACATTTGCTGAATGACTGTGAATATTCTCTTCCACCTCAAAATTTCTAAAGGACAGCCATATTCTACTGATTATTTAAAAAATATTTTGGAGTAGCCTAGTGTGGTGGTGCATGCCTTTAATCCCAGCACTCGGGAGGCAGAGGCAGGCAGATCTCTGTGAGTTCGAGGCCAGCCTGGTCTCCATGGTGAATCCAGGACAGCTGGGGCTACAGGGAGGCCCTGTCTCAAAAAGACCAAAAAAAAATTTTTTTTTGGAGTAATATAAAAACACCTACATGGCAATAACAGAAAAACACACAAAAATTTATGTAATTTATTTTAACATAATATCTATAGTAAAATATTATAAAAAAGTACGATTATATTTTAATTTTTTAATTTATTGTTTTTATTTTGTGTATATGAGTGTATTGCCTGCATGTGTGCAAGTGCACCCATGTCATGCAATGCCTAAGGAGGTCAGAAGAGGGCATTGGAGTCCCCTGGAACTGGAGGTACAGATAGTTGTTAGCTGCCATGTGGGTGCTGGTAATCAAACCTGGGTCCTCTGCAAGAGCAGCCAATGCTCTTAACCACTGAGCCATCTCTCCAGCCCCTATTACTATATTTTAAGATAAAATAAAATGTAATTCTAGAGGAAGCTTGAGAGAAATGTATAAGTATTAACATTCATTGGTAATTTATTTTTAATTAAGTAATTTATTTTTATTTTATGTATATGAGTGTATTGCCTCCATGTGTGTAAGTGCACCCATGTTGTGCAGTGCCCATGGAGGACAGAAGAGGGTGACCCCCTGGAAATGGAGTTATGGACAGTTGTTAGCAGCCATGTGGGTGCTAGGATTTGAACAGGGGTCTTCTGCAAGATTAGCCAGTGCTCTTAACTGCTGAGTCATCTCTCCAGCCCCTCACCGATAAATTTTTACAAATGAGGAAATGAGCATACTGCTATTTCCAAATAATTTGATGATTTATATAACTATTATTCTCATGTAGAGAAAAAAATAAATCTTTAGAAGATACATATTTATATATATTTGTGATTATATACATATATGTGACACGGGTATATATGTGCACGAATATAAGGTATAAGTGTATGGATGTATGTGAACATCTGTATGCAGCTCCATCCTATTTCAGTACTGCTCCTTGGCCATATTCTGGATAGATCCAGTTCAGCTCTGGCTTCTGTCATCTACGCCAAGTAGATAGGTTTCTTTAGGTAAATACAAATTGGAACTGTCTGGTCTACATAGTGAGTTCCAGGTCAGCTGGAGCTACAGGGAAACCCTGTCTCAAAAAGACCAAAAAAATAAATAAATTGGAATGGAATTAAATTGAGCTTAATAGGAAGATGCATAGAAGTTGAAGGATCTGGAGATAAACTGATTATCTCTTCCTAAAACTGACACTTTCAAAGTCCCATCATTTCCAGCCACACACACATCTTGAACTCTGCACCAAAACAGAAGCAATTCCCAGATGGAAACATTTCCAGGTTCCCCTTTATCTTTCCTCACATTCATTTCATTTTGTTCCCATTCCCAGAAGCCACCTCTCTAGGTCCTGGTTACCTTTCATAATAAAGTCTCAAATGTCCATCTTTCCTAGGAGAATGCATAACATGGTGTCTAATTCTGAGGCTCTTTTCTATGTCCATATAGCACTCTGGATGCCTTACTCCACACCTTAGTGACCTGACTAAACACTGGCTCTGCCATACAGATTTCCCAAGGGAGCTAGAAGCCAACGGATGGAGCCTATCAAACCTGGCATGCAGGGGTCACTCAGTGAAGCTGCACGACAAACAGGAGAAAAAGAGTCTAATTCTTCTGGGAGTTAACTTGTAAATGGCAAGGAAAATAAGCTAAAATCAGGAAACAGAATATTTTCTACATCTACAGTAGTAACAATTTATATGTGGATCTTAATCGAAAAAATAGAGTGGAAACAAGTAAGAACACCACTAATCAAAAAGAAGAAAGAACACAGTTTGGGGGATGGGTGTGTGTGCTGAAACAGTAACTTGGCCGACAAACAGTGCAGCTGTGTCAGTATTAACAGTAGATGTAATCTGCTATTACATTTAATGTGGTAATCTCACAAAATCAAAAAACTAATAGTCATACAGACATCAAAAACCTACATTACACATATATA